CCACGGAATTTTCTGACGAAAAAAATTATGTGGCTAATTTTAATTATAAAATTTTAGCCACGGAATTAACCACGGAATTTTCTGACAGAAAAAATTCCGTGGCTAATTCCGTGACTAATTAGCGACGGATTATATTCTGTCGCTAATTCCGTGGCTAAGTTTAGCGACGGAATTTTCATGGATAATCCGTCGGTAATTAGCTGTTTTTTTGTAGTGCGAGTTTGTTTAAACTCGTGAGTTTGACAACCTTGCCTAAAACACTTAATATTATTTTCATTTGTACCTTTGGAATTGGAATTTTTTGTTAGCTTGTGGGTTGTTTTGTAGTCTCTGCCTTTAAGTTTCCACTTAGAATTAGAATTTTAACCTTCCTTTCTTGATTTTAAAAGTCTCTCAATCCTCACAGCATCATCCAACAACTCCTCCATGTCCTTGTAATCTTGTAGATCCATAATATTAGTAATTTCTGGATTTAAGCCATCTACAAATCTAGCCGTTGTTGACTCTTTGTCCTCCTCTATGTGTGCTCTAAACATGATCGTTTCCATCTCCTGATAATACTTGTCCACATTCATGAATCCTTGCTTCAATTCTTGTAACTTTGTATGCATATCTCTATAGTCACTATTGGGGATAAATCTCTTGCACACTAATGTCTTCATCTCTTGCCAACTTCGAATTGGCCTTTTACAATTTCGCCTCCTATTTATCTCCAATGAGTCTCACCAAATACTGGCATAGTCAGAAAATTCATACGAATGCCAATCTCACTTTCATTTCATCAGAAAAATTATAACAATCAAAGATCCGTTCGATCTTTGTCTCCTACCTTAAATAAAGTTTAGGATCATTCTTTCCTTAAAAAGTAGGGATTTCCAACTTCATATTGCCCAAATCATCATTATCTTCATAATATGAAAAGTCTTCATCTTCCTCCTCCTCAGCTACATGCCTTCCAAGGTTGATTGATGAGTTGACGAAGGCAGATTGCAAGTCATCCAACCTAATATTTAGTCTCTTGAATTGCTCATTAACAGATTTCATGAACAATTTAATATCTATCTCTTGCCCTCTTTCACCAGACATGTTTAATTCCTGAAAAAAAAAAGTTAGGAACAAAAAATAAATATATAAGCTTCAGCCTATTTTGGCTTTTCTTGACCCACACTTGCTTCTTTTACATACCTCTCAAGTTTGCCTTCTCTTATTGTTCTTGAAAGAATCAAGAGCAGCGAATCAAAAGAAACAATAGTAGTTTAAATTGCGGCAGATCTCAAAAATAAAGAGTTTAATAGCTAGTCAAAGGATAATCCTCAAAAGAAGGAAATTGCAAGCAAAATCTTAAAAAGGATAGGAAATCAATTCAAAGAATTAACTAACTTGAAGGGGGGAAACGTTTTTATCAATAAAAAAAGGAGGGGAATAACATTTTGGATAAAAAAAATCAGAATCACAGAAGATCAGATTAGATTCCCCGGGCACCAAAAAAAAGATGAGATTTGATATTAAAAAAATCAGATTGTAGTTACTATCCAATCAAATTCAAATAACCAAATTAATTTTTTATTGTAGGCAGTGAACAAGATAATAACTCAACAATTCTTTTTTTGCTTTATCTAATACAAATATCGTTCTTATTTTTAAATTTTGTATTTTATGATTTTGTCAATTTTCTGTTCATATTTTAAACTTTTTTACCTATAAAAATTATTTATTTAATGATTGGTTTAGTTTTAAATATATAAATTTGCTTAAATAATATTTCAGATGCCTGTGAACAAAACAATTAACAAAATAGGGATTTATTATGATAACAGATAAATTAGTAAAGATAATTTAACTTTATTTTCCGTAAAATTTTATAATTTATAATACATTATTTTCAAATTATTTATTTAAGTATTATCATACTTATTTATTTAAATTTTTAAATTTAAAGAGTGGATAATTAGATTATAAGGGTAATCTCATAATTTTAAATTTTTCAACATGATTACACATAATTAAATTAAATATTTTAAAATATTGAACAAAATATTCTTAATGATGATGGCTAAAATTAGATCAACTCATTAAATTGTACATCTTAAAAACAGAAGAAAATTTTCTATAATCTTAGCAGAATAAAAGGGATATGCTTGTAAACATGTTTTCGTTCCGGAAGAAAAGGATTGAAACCATTTTTTATTGTTTGGTATAGGAAAATTGAGAAACCCTTTTTCTATCTGAGAATTTGAGTTCTGATTGCAGTTTTTAATATGTTTATTTTCAAGTGTAATTTTTTGGAACAGCTATTCAAATGGATTTTGTCAAGAGTTTATGACCCAATTGACATTAAGCACCCTCCTTGAGATTTTCTTCAAACTTTCATTAGAGGGAGTGACAGATGTTCGGATTATGAGGAAAAAAATAAACATATTTTTGTTTTGCCTATGTATGTGCTATAACTCATGTTTGTTTTACCGTAAAAAATCTCCCAAGTTTTTCGAAACCTATTTCAATAGTGATAAGTATCTTGGTGCTAATCATTACGTCTGCACCATTTAAATATAGTTTCAACAATATGAGTTTAAAATTTTTAACTAATTATTTTAAATAAAAAAATTGTCTTTTAAAAAATGGCTGTTAAGAAATTATTTTTGAAATTCTGTACACATTAAAATATTTTTTTTCAAAAAAATAAAAAAATAAATTTAAACCATTTAAATTAAATTTGGATGATCCAAATTTTAGAAATGATGGGCACTGAAGCCTAAGTTTTTCAACAATCTCCAGCTTTATTAGTTCCTACTTATCCTTCTTTTATTTGATGGGATGTTCCTACTTATCCTTCTGCTTCCAAGCTAGCTGGAGCTTCTGGGGCTTCTCCTGGTATGCTTTTTCTAGTGCTGATTTGGTTTCATTTCCAAACATTATTTTTATATTTTATGAGACAATTTCTTTATGTATTTATATATAGCACAAAATCTCTTCTTCTTTGTTAAAAAATCTCTTGTTTATTAAAAAAAAACTAATTCTGTAATTGATCACTTGATAAAGCTAATAGAGTCGCGTTGGCCTTGGTACAAGCTTTTTTTTTTTAAAAGTGAACAAAAAAAATTAGGTAGCATTAAAAAATTGGCGCTATTATTAAAAAAATTAAAATAAGAGAGAGAAAGGGGAAGAGAGAGAGCATTGATGTCAAATTATGCGGCTATATCTCCTCCCCAGAGAACGTTTTCCATTAATAGCGCAAAATTTTTTAATACGTGTATATGTATAGACTATATCTCAGTCCAAAAATATATATGTATAAACTATATCAAACGCATAATTCATGTGTTGTTAACCTCATTTCTTAAATCTCATACTACGCATCCAATAAAGACGACACTAATTCCCCCCTCCCCCCAGTAACCTCTTGAGTCTTCTAGATTATTTTGAATTTGAGATTAATTTTTATCTGGTCAAGAGCGTTTAAAGTTAAAACCCTCACAATAAGTACATTTCCCGGGGTTCAAACTTGTATTCTCTTCTTTATGGAGGTGAGCCCGCTTATCATCTTAACCCACAATATATTTAATTAGATATAATATCTACAAACCAATAAGAGTTAGTCCAATTAGTAAAGAGTTGGCTCATAATTCATAAGGTCTCAAGTTTAAATCTCACTACCCATATAAAGACCTTACAGGCGATTACACTTTATGAGCATGAAAGTATATCCTGATCCTGTTGAGCCTGAGAACCAACTTATCCAAACTTTATTATCTAACAAGATATAATGTCTACATATAATGCACTGTGAAGGCATGCCTTGGTCCCGTTGGTTCCCCGCACCCAACTTATCCAAACTTTATTCTCTAACAAGATGCAATGTTTACATATAACGCACGTTGACATTGTTGAATTATATTCAAATTGTTTTGGTCCGTTTGTTTACATGCTTTTATTTTCTAGAGTTTTTTTTTTGGGGGGGGGGGGTGTGGGGGATTCTTTTTGTGGGGTTTGCAACATAGTTTACAAGCTAACTTCTAAAATCAACAATAGATTCAAAGCAGGCCCACTCTCTCAAACCCACAAATAATAGGAGCTTAGTGCATTGGGCTAATCCGTTCAGCCTTGAAGACCTAAAACTGGGAGTTTACAATCGGTAAATCTCTTAAGGCAAAAAGTATGAACGAAAAATTATTTAAATTGTTGGAATTATTTTTAATTTGTCCACTTAATTTTTTTATTGTTTTCTATACTTAAAAAACTTTATAAGCGTTACAAATATTTTAAGAAATGGTAAAATTTTACGTTATATGCTTGTTAGATGCATAATTTAGGTGTCTTTTTTCCTCTTGCGGAGGATAATTTAGGTGTTACTAACATTAGTATAATTTCCTATATTTAATAGCTAGATGAAGCAAACATTCAACTATCTAGAGAGGTATCGTCAACATTTACAACCACCCGAGCATTAATTATAATAAACAAATTCGAACTTTGAATTTTCTAGACATAATTTTAATTATATTAATTGGAAAACTACTTGGACCTAGCAAAGAAAAGTTGGGCAAGTTAGATATGATCATTAAAGCATATATATATATATATATATCTGTAAATACCTTTAAATATACAGAATACTGCCCATTATAAGTCATTAATGCAATGTTTGGCAAGCGGAAAAAGTGTATTCTAAAATGAAATGAGAAATACACCTGGAAAGGAAATGTGCTTTTCTTCTAGAAAACATTTTACTACAGACCAAACGTTGCCTAAGAGTATGACTCATCTCAGACTTCATAATAAAAAAAGTTTGTTCAAACTTCACAAGTTTCTTCAATATTAAATTAGAAAAGATCATATATTTAGCAAAAAAAGAGAAAAGAACGGGAAAAAGAAAAAGAAAAAGAAAAAGAAAAGATCCCATAGGAAATGGAGGCTGAAAAGGGCGAGAGAGGGCCCAGCATTGGGATAATTTGGCGTAAGGGTTATCAAACTTTCATTCATGTCACAAGGCACGCAATGTCTTGGTAACAGATAAAATTCAAAATATGTTTCCAGTCAAATTCTTCAACTAATACAAATACATTTTATTGATATATTTCATCATCACAATATCAACTCATTAAAAAGTTCTTTGTTTACTTTTCAGTGAACTTTAATAGCAATCATATAGAACATATTACCTAAGTTTTTGTGCCATTAGAAAATATCTATACATAATTTTTGTTTTTGGCATAGAATGGATTAAAGTCTAATATATACATACATACCGTGTGATGGAAGAATTACTGGCTTTTCAAATAGTTTTGGTTATCTCCAGCAGCAACTCTGCTGGTAAGGGAAGGTCTCATCGTGACAATGGCAGACTCATTTGCGCCAGCTCTGAGAGCAGCCTTTCCAGCTTCCAGGAACCTCTTCACTGCATCTTCTGCGTATCTGTTAGCTTCTTCCACTGTCATGGTTTTCCCAATATCTGGATAGGTTTTGAGCACTTAATCACCAACGAGCTGCGATGCGAGCTGGATCAGTTCAACCTGGAATTCTGAGAGCTCCTTGTCTCCTCCACGTCCCCATGGCCTCAGTGCTGTCTTCACCTCGGGTAGCCTTTCTGAAAAGTCATTGGGGAAATGTTGAAATATAATTGCTAAAATAGTAGAAAATGAAAAGCAGCAAGCTTCTATGCTAGAAAACTTCTTCGCTGAATCGTGATCGCAAAAGACAACTACATCAAGTAAATGATGCGTGTATGTGAGCATGTTAGACACACTACTGGGTGAATCATACCACTTAACATCATGTTTGATTTCGCTTACCTAATACCCACCTTATATAATTCTATCTAGTTCATATTTTGTTTCTTTACCATTCACATCATATTATCTTCTAGAGCCAGTTTTGAAACTGATCCTCTGAACTCACTTTACGTGAAGTTCAGGGAGAGAAAGAGAGTTTGGAATGGTGACTTCTCCCTCCCTCTAAACTTCAGATGAAACACAGAAGTGGAAACTTAAAATTTCTTATTAAAGTAAGCAAAAGAGAAGCCACAAGTTTCTGCAACAGGGCGTTTAATGCCCAGCCAAGTGCTTAAGTTTCTGCCATCATTGATCAAGATGAATGAAAAACTAAAATATGGAGATGCTTCAAGATATACAGCATACAAAAACAGCATGTACAAGAACCATGAGCTCTGTCTAAGTTTCAGAACAAAATTCTAAGTCTCTAAACGAGAATTTGAAGTTCATTATGAACATCGAAACATATAATGACAGAGTCTGGACAGCAGACAAGGGTTCGTAGATTAAAGGACCAGAGTCATGAATCCTCCCCAGACTATGGCAATCAAGTTAAAAAGATGCTGTACAAACCTGGACAATCATCACGAGGAGTATCTCGAATGTAAAAATAGTTCTCAAAGGTACCAGCCCATGCATCTCTGTTCGTCAAGAAATTAGGCTTCCGATTGAAAAGTTTCTTTTTTTGATATTTTATTTTGTTTTTTTTCCCTTGTTGACCATATTTTTAAAAATGTGTAATTTATTTCATCCAATGGGAGGATTTGGTTGGGGTTGGAATCTTAAGAAAATAGGAAGATACGACCAAATGTATGAAGTTAAAAAAATTGTTGGCAAAAAAAAAATGTTAACAAAATTATTATTACCTGGAGTGTTAATATCTAATACTCCTACAGTCCTTAATATAAGACATATTTAGCTAATTTGATTAGATTAAGAAAGTTAGGTAAATTAGTTAATTATATAAAATATGACATTTTTTCTTAAAACAACACAATCATCTTCGTTAATATCTCATCTCCCTCTTTTACTTGATTATGATTGAAAAAGTATCCATAAGAGTAATTTAAAAAAATTAATAAACATGATAAATAGATCTTATATTTAGGACTAAAATTAGCTTAACAATTAAGTCCTTTATTAAAAACAGGAGGAGTATCATAATTGTAACTAGTTTTTGGTTTTACGGGATAGAAGGCTTGAGATTTGAGAACATACCGTCCCAAAGAATATTTCAATTGAAAAATAAAAGTTCAGGATGTTAACTGCAAGAATAAGCGATTATACTTTTTTAATAAAATTAAAAATCACTTAATTATCTTTTAATAAAAAATGTCAATATAATCTACATAACTTTTAATCAAAAAATGCGGAGAAGATGGAATTTGCTATAATTTGATTAGGAAAAGTAGTAATTTGCAAGAATTTGATTTTTCAAATTAATTGGTAAATACGCAAAAATAGTAAGGAAAAATAAAAAGTATTGGCGGAAGACGAAAACAAATTCCTAACTCCCATTCTAAATATCGGAGTTAAATCAGATATCCATCTTAATTTTAAATATAAGATTTAAATTTGCTTTACTTTATAAATTTATAAACTTTTTTTCTCAAAGCACCTTTATTAATTTCATATATTAAAGAGGTTCCTAATCAATGGATTGTTTCAATGCATATAATTCAACAAAATAGTTTAAGAAAACAAAAAATCATCTGTTATAAATAACTAATTTAATTTTTTTAATATCTGTAAAATAGTTGTATGGCTCTTATATTCAGCATTGGAGAAAGTAGTGTAAACTTTGTTTATTTGTAAATTGAATGAATGTGTGGCAAAAATAAATTTGAAAAAAAATGAAAAAAAAAACAACGAGAATTTAATTAGCTTTGTTTGTTATATGTAACAGTGGACTATTAGCAAGGTTTAGTAAGACTACATATAAAATAAAAAAGCAAAGCCATAGATAAAGATGGAGGTATATAGTTTGAATTTGCAAATAATGTATTGATGATATTAATAATTAATAACTTCATAACTAAACGACGTAGCAGTAGGCAGCTTAATTATTTTGTGATTAGATTGTGTTGCAGTGGTGACTGGGGCTGCAACACATTATGCAAGATGGTCATATCCCAATGCTCCTATGTTACTACACAAAAAAAAGGAGATTAATGACAAAAATTCTATCGCTAATCAAATTAGCAATAGAATTTTCATTGCTACTCTGTCACAAACTGATTTGTGACGGAATTTGCAACAGAACACTTGTTGCTAAAAAAGCTGTCACTAATTTGGTTTGTGATGGAATTTCAGACTCCGTTGCTAATCTTGCAACAAAATTGTGATGGATAATCGATCACAAATTTGTGATAGATTAGTGAGGGAACGGTCCGCTGCTAATTGGTGATGCAATTTCAGTCACAAAATTTGTGACAGATTTGTGACGAAATTTCCGTTGCAAACTTTGTGACATTTGTGACAGAAAGTCCATCGCACATTTGCGATAGAATTGTGACGGAACATTCCGTCACAAATTAATAGACATATTGAATAATATTATTACTGTTCAAATCTCATTTAGACCACCTTTAGTTCTCTTATTAAGACATTCTTTTTAACATTTTATGAATCCTAATAGACAATCTCTGGTATTCTATATATCATAAGAGCAAACGAGTTAATTTAATTGCAATCTAAATAATTGAAAACTAAACCATTTTTTGTAAATAAGATATCAAAATGTCACTCATTTTATGTAGAATCTAATAATAAAAAGAACCACACAAAAAAAACATTTGCAAAGAACTTCTTGTATGAGAGGGCAGCAGAGGGGCAAGATCCAAGGAGCAGCTGACAACCCTCCAAAGAGTGGTCAAGAGATATGTAGAAGAAGAAAGCGTTTGCAATTTTGCAATCAAGTGCCCTAAAGTTGTGTTCAAAATGCTGAGCACAATGACATTGATTATTTGATAATAAACTTAAAATTATATACATTAAGTTACAATTTTTTTACATTTAATAATAAACTTAAAATTGTTTTTACAATTAAAAAATCAATGTATTAGTCTTAAAATTGTTTTTACAATTAAAAAATCAATGTATTAATTTCTCAATTAAACAAATAAAATTGACAGAATGTATGAAGAAGTGAGAGACAATATACGTTGGTTTCAAAATTGAAACTAGATGAGCTCCCTTTGAGTTTATTGGATAAGATCTAACAGAGGAAGGCCAACCAATGTCATTTGGTAAGCACTCATCATGGTTCTTCACGTTTTGTCATTTCTTTACCCAATTGCTGTCTACTTCAACTAATAACTAGAGATTAAACTGACTTGCATTCATTGCATTATAATGCCTGCTGCTACTGATGCTTTTAGAACAATTTCAAGTTTTGGTTTTAGATAGAGAAAGACAGCACTGAGCTTACTAGTCCTAATGTCTGAGATAGAATATTGCGACCATACTCAGATTCCTGAATCTATTTCAGTCTGCAGAGCCCATGGCCTTGCTGTTTGGCAAATTTGGAAAAAGTACTTTGAGTACAAACTGAGATTTGCCCTAAAAAATATCCAAACACCCCATAATTTTCTGAAACCATAGTTTGTCATAAAACCATGATTTTCCCTATCAAAACCATGGTTTTACTGTAAGCCAAAAAAAAATCGCTTTTTGAATGTTTTTGTTGCCTTTACACTATCAAAAGTAAACAGGAATACACAAAGCTTCATGCCTTCAAACCAACAGTAAATGTGCAGTAATACTCAAACCAACAGTAAACATATTTAATCTTATATTTTATAAATATATATACACATATTAACAATTAATTAATTATATTTTTTATATATTATTTATTATGTTGGTAAAAAATATTTACAATTTATTACTCCTCTGGTCATTAATATAGAACCTAATTAAAAAGTTAATATTGATCATAAATATAAGACCTATTTTATATGATTATCAATTTTTTTAAATTAACTTTATTAATATTCCCTCAACAATAATCAAACAGGAGAAGAAAGAAGAAATTAAAAAAGATGTTTATGATGTTTTAAAAAAATATATCATATTAACTAATTCAACTAACATACTTTTTGGTAATATGCACATAAAAAAAAAGGACTTTTGATGATAATTATTCAAACACTCTCATTTTATCAGAATCACTTTTTCATAAAATATATTTTTCTAAAATCTATTTTCAAAAATAACTTTTCTCTCAGAAGCTATTTTCCAAATCATAATTTAGTTTTATCCAAACACCTCCTAAAGCTGACATATTGTGGTTCCCACATATGAAAAGATAACTTTTCTTTTGATACATTAAAAATTGTAGCGTACACGGGGTTAACTTGATTACGGCGATACAAGTCGTAATCATATGGGAAGGAGCATGGAAAGAATGCCTCGATCCAAGCTTATTTATAAGAAATAAATCAATTAGAATTGGAAGTAGTATTTTCCTTAATTTCACATTCATTTTTCCAAGTCCTTGGTCAAAAAAGGCATTTAGCTCTTTGGGCATACGGTGACAAGAAGTTTCCGGGAAAGATCACATGCATGCCGTCAGTCGCGAGCCTGGAAGCTTACACACACACACACAAGTATATATAAATATATTTTAAGCTTTCCAGTTTAGACACTTCCCTCACACAGCTGTCAGCCCAGGTCGGCATATAGTGTATATCTACTCCTTCCCCCCCCCCCCCCCCCAATTCTCGCCATCTCATATTCTGATCATCCAAGATATTTCCTTCAGTTGCTGTAGGCCGTGGTATATATTAGTGGTTGATCAAATTATTCTTCACAAGTTGGCTCAAACGTTTATGGGAAATAACAAAGAAGCATTTTCCTCAGAATCTTCTAGGTCCAATCCAACTCGAAGAACCTGGAAGTATGACGTTTTCTTGAGTTTTAGAGGTGAAGACACTCGTGAAGGCTTCACAAGCCACTTGTACCAAGCATTGGATGGGAGAGGATTCCATGTTTTTATAGACTATGGACTTACAAGAGGAGAAGTTATCTCACAAGAACTGCTGCAAGCAATTGAAGAATCTCGCTTTGCAATTGTTGTTCTCTCTGAAAATTATGCTTCTTCTTTTTGGTGTTTAGATGAGCTCCAACATATTCTTACCTCAAGAAATAACTCAGATCAAATAGTCTTCCCTGTCTTTTATCGTGTACATCCACCTGATGTGATGAACCAACGAGGAATATTTGGTGAAGCTTTTGCCAAACTTGCACGCGGTCAGCCCCAGTCGAAGGTTAAAAAATGGAGGGATTCTCTAACAGAAGTGGCTCATTTAGCTGGTTTTGATACCCGTAATTACCGGTAAGTTTTTTTTTTTCATATAATGAAATCGAATTACTTGTATAAATTATTTGTATTAGTTCATCAAACATGGCATATATAGGTGCATCCAACATATTTCCATGTGTTTTCATGTTCTTTTTAGAGAGAAAATTTTTTAGTTGACAATAAAAAGTTTAATAACTACTTCATACTATCAAATTGATAAATCTTTTTATAATTACTTCATACTTCACCTGATGATTACAACAACAACAATAAGCCTTATCCAGTAGGTGGGGTCGACTACATGAATCACACGACGTCATCGTGCTACTTCACCTGATGATTATATGTTGAAAATGTTTGTTATAAAATGTTTTAAAGACAAGAATCTATATACCTAGATAATTTTATTTGCCAGCTATATATCCATATAATACTATTTGTGAAGCAAAGCCATGGGTTATCTTGTGCGTCATTATTTTCTTATTAAATTTAATAATATAATGTACGATCTATGACTTTTTTAAAAACTCCATGCAAACTGCATATGGCTTAACATTTAGGAGAAATTGCAATCAAGTCTCATGGAAAAAAATAATTACTAAAAGGTTTCAATAATATCCTTAACAGTCTATAATGACAAATTTTATAGTGGAGAATGACAGCTTCTAAGAATTGTTTTTTAATTATTTTTCTTGTTTGGGATCTCATTATAATTCTTCCTAACATTTATCTCTACGTTTCTTTTCACAAAAGGCTTGGTTAAACACCATAAATGTATCAAAGTTAAAACAAATTTCAAAATACTTATTTATGACAAAGTATAAGAAAGAAAATAAAAAAAATTATTAAAATGAAGAGAATTATGAAAGAGAGAAAATACGTGATAAAGAGATATTGTGTTAAAATATAACATTCAAAACATTTATTATCTAAAAAATGATGTTTTGAGAAAACAAAAAATAAATATATTAACTATTAAAATAAGTTTTTAATAAGGGTAAAATAGAAAATTTGCTATAAAAGTTTAAGATAATTTGAAAATGTTGCTTATATTTAAAGATAAGAAAAGAGTCATTGTTGTTAGTTATTTTTGTAAAGTTAAGAAAATTAGTTCTCAATTAAAATATTTATAATGTAATTTCTCTCATCATTGAAAGTTTTCTTCATGCCTAAAACTTGGAGTGCTCGAAGTTAAAATTTCTAAAATGGAAAGATTTTACAAGATTAAAAAAAATGACGCATGATGATGCAACTTGGCTTCCTTATTCATTTATATGCAGATCAATCATTAAATATTTATCATATTTAATTTTCTGCCACGCTCATGCATGCCTTTCTTGTTTACTTTCGCTTTGGGATCCTTTGAATTGTTTATAAATATTAAAAATTAAAAAGAAAATAAATAGCAATTAGCATGGCATGTTTGATGGCAAGTAATATGCTTGACGGAAAAAATTGTGTTTGTAGGGACGAAGCAGCACTCATTATGGATGTGGTTGAAAATTTATGGGGCCAACTTCGTTCTGTACTGCCACCAGTCAAGGCACATAGTGATGCACTGGTTGGAATTGAGCCGAGGGTAGACGAAATGCTTTCAATCTCAGGGATAGGTTTGGATGACGTTCGGTTTATAGGAATATGGGGCATGGGCGGTGTTGGCAAGACCACTCTTGCTAGAGTTATCTATGAGACGCTCCATCACCTGTTTGATTTTCCTTGTTTTCTTGCCAATGTTAGGGAGGTTTCAGCTGAAAGAAATGGCATACTTCGCTTGCAGAAACAACTGCTTTCACATTTCAACGTAAAAGACTTACATATTGAAGACACGTATGAAGGACAGAACATGTTAGGATACCTTCTCCGCAACAGAAAGGTTTTGCTTGTCCTTGATGATGTAAGTGATCTAGGACAGTTACGGAGTTTAGCTAGAAGCCGAAAGTGGTTTGGTGATGGTAGTAGAATATTCATAACAACTAGAGATTTAGACTTACTGACATGTCATGAAGTTGATGAAACATACGAGATTACACCCATGACCGATGCAGAATCTCTTCAACTCTTTTATCAGAAAGCATTTGGAGGAAGAGGTGTCCCTGCTAATGAAGACCAATTTTGGCAGTTGGCTAGATCAGCAATTGGTTATGCTCATGGCCTTCCTTTGGCTCTCTGTGTTTTAGGCTCCTTCCTTTGTGGTAGAGATGATTTAACAGAATGGGAAGATGCTTTGCAATTGTTGATAGAAGATTCAAATAATGACATTTTTAAGATACTTAGAATAAGCTACAATCAACTGAATCGTGCAGAAAAGACAATATTTTTAGATATTGCCTGTTTTTTTAACAGGTGGGGAAAAGATGAAATAATTCAAATATTGGCAGGTTGTGGACTTCCTGCTCCAGCTAGTTTAGGTAGCCTTCGAAAAAAATCTTTGCTTGCTGAAATTGAGATTGGCGGTACTACATATGTAGAGATGCATGATTTGATTCAAGAGATGGGTAGACTGATTGTTATTGAGGAATCTCCTGTTATTGTTGGAAGACGCAGTAGACTGTGGCTTCCCAATGACATTGACCAACTAATGGAAAGTGACATGGTGAGAACCTAATTTTCCAAAAATAATAATATTCTTTTTTTTTTGGTGCTGAATTTCTATGTTCATTATTTGCTCACATTTTTTGATAAGATCTTAGTCACTATGATGTTTTAATTAGGGAACTGAAGCAACGGAAGGCATGGTTCTGCCTCATAGCTTTGAGAAAGATGAAGTAGATTGGAATCCTGAAGCCTTTTTAAAATTGTGTTCGCTTCAAATGCTTATCATATCAAGTAATTTTAATCTTTCCCTTCCCTTCAGAGGTCTTCCTCGAATATTGAAAGTTCTTCATTGGTATGGATATCCTATGGAATCTCTTCCTTCTAATGTGAAGATGGATCAAATCAGATATCTCAAAATGCACAATAGCAAAATAAAGCGCCTTTCTAATGATAAACAGGTTAGATACTTTATAAGCATTCTCACATAAATTACTGTTGAAACTAAAGTTTTTTATGACTGATTTCTTGTACCATTTATTTGACTAGTCTATGAAGAAGCTAAAGATTTTGGACTTAAGCCATTCCAAATATCTCCTTCAAACTCCAAATTTTGTTGGATATCATAATTTAAAAAGACTGATTCTTGAAGGCTGCACATCACTTGTTGAAATTCATTCTTCACTCGGACAGCTTCACTGTCTTGTTGAAGTAAATTTGAAAGGTTGCATTAATCTTAAAGTCCTTCCCCAAAAATTGGAAATGGATTCTCTAGAAAAATTAGTTCTCTGTGGATGTGTTCGAGTAAGAATTCTTCCGGAATTTGAAGAAAATATGGAAAAGCTTAGAACACTTGATGTCAAAGAGACAAGTGTAACCAGACTTCCTAAGTCCCTTGGATACTTAACAGGGATTGAAACTTTGGATTTAAGGGGTTGCCAAAAGCTTGTTGGCCTTCCCCATGACATTCACAAATTGAAGCGTCTGAAAGTTCTTGATATCTCATGCTGCTCAAATTTTTCTGCATTACCAGAAAAGCTCAATGAAAATGAAGCCTTGGAAAAGCTTGATGCAAGTGGAACAGCTATCGTAGAAGTACCTTCTTCTATTTGTCATTTAAAAAAATTAAAGGCACTAGCATTTCATGGATGCAAAAATCCAACTTCCAATTCAAGTGTGTGGTCTCTTCTTTGGAGCCAAATGTTTCAGAGTCATTCATCTCCTAAGTACTTAACATTGCCTGCTTCTATCTTCAATATTCAATCATTGACAGAATTAGATTTGAGCTACTGCAATATTGTTGATGGGATCATTCCTAATGAACTCAATGGCTTATCATCATTGCGGACATTAGATTTGAGTGGAAACGTGTTTATGAATCTACCTGATGGCTGCATTTCTAATCTTTTGAATCTACAGTCTTTTTATTTGAATTCTTGCCCAAAGCTTCAATTTTTGCCACAGCCTTCGCCGAGTTTAAATCTAATGGATGCCGGAGAATGTGGTTCATTGAGAACTTTGTCAGACAGACAATTGTTACATCTCTTTGCTTCAATTGAACAGGTATGTAAACACTTGTCTTTATGTTTTCCATCCACAAATCCATACATATCTTGGGTTGTTAATTTTATACAATTTGTGACATGATAAATTTCTTGGTTTTGGGATGGCCAGCATGCTGAAGAATTAAGGAGAATTAAGTCTTTTTCAGTGACTATTCCAGGGAGTGAAATACCATCATGGTTTGAGAATCAGAACCATCTTCGTCTGAATGAGAAACGTGAAGCCTCTGTAACCATAGACATGCCTGAAGATGAATGGTTGGGAATTGGGTTGTGCACAGTAATTGATGATAAGATTTGTTTGCCTCGCTTGGGGTTTGATTTCAAAGCTTCCGATGGTAAGTATGTATCCCTTCAAGGAAGGACACGTGAATATGAGAAAGAAATAAAATCTTCCCATCTATGGATAGCGTTTTGGAAAATTGAAGAGGAAAACAGAGGTGAACTATCAAGGAATTACAGTGAGATTCGCTTGAAATTTTGTACTGGCTGGGAACAGCCTCCATTAAGATTGGTTGATGTAGAGTCAATCAAGTGTGGATGGCGTTTCATTCGCGAAGGTGATTTAGAACGACTCTAGTGTGGCAAGTTGCTTTCTCTCCATAGTCTCTTTTGTAATATTTTTGTGCTGGTATTGTTGTTACTTCTCATTAGTACAAAGAAGTTAATAATGAACCACAAAATTAAATCTCTTTTAAGAATGAACGAATTGTTATTTGAATACTTTTGCACAATATACTTTGTTACAGAGTGAAACCTCTCGGACTCCTATCACAGAACGTGAAACCTCAGCTTTATGCCCAGAAGATGAAGTCAAACTAGATTATTCATGGATGTAGTTCAGTGCAGATGATGCAATGTACGTGATATTGTAATCTGACAATATCCCTTATCTGTTGATTATTAATGAATTTCAAAGTTGGTGTTATGATTGAGATCCAAAATTGCAGCCTTGTGATTATAAGTTCTCAATTAAATGGTTAGGATCACTATATTCTGTTTTCATATGCCTATTCCTAAAAACACTTGAAAGCGTTTTAGCACTATCCACAAAATCATTTCATGCCCAAAGCAAAATGGAACAAATACAATTAGCAGAACGTACCAAGAACTGAAAGACAATAGATTGGTTTCAAAATTGAATTTAGATGAGCCCCCTTTGAGTTTATTGCATTATAATGCTTGCTTCTACTTATGCATTCAAACCAATTCCAGGTTTTGGTTTTAGACGGAGAAAGCTAAGACAGCAATGAGCTTACTAGTCCTGCTATATGAGATAGAATACTGCGACATCTACGCTCCATATTCATATTCCTGAATCTATTTCAGTCAGCAGATCAGCCCAGGCCTAAGGCTCATGTTGTGGAATCTGTTAGGGAACCTAACTATGAGCCTGAAGAACATCTTCCATATTTAACTTCCACACTTTTCTTCCCATTCACATGCATTTTTTCAAAGAAAAATTGCCACTCCCTCCGTCAAACAACGGAACCAGTTTCCTTGCTAGAAATTAAGTTTTATTATTCCACTAAAATCGTCAAGGTTTGAGAATCAAATTGATCGTTGTCTAGATGATAAAGGAAAAGCTTTACCAATGATAGACATACCTCCTTGTGAAGAAATGTGGGGAATTAGATTATGCATTCTGCTAGAAAGTAAGTTTTATTATTCCACTAAACCCAAGGTTTGATTTTGCTTCAAATACCAACTATCGCCGGGCGATTAGGAAGGTTCGATTGATGGTGAGAAGAAAAGAAAGTGTTGTCACCTTTGGGTCATGTTTTGGAAACAAAGAAACCCTGTGATATGGTGCAATTAAGGAAATACAATCGGGTTCCCTTTAGATTTGAGGCCTCCCGTTAATAATGCAAAAATTTCAATGAAGTGTGGGTGGCTTGTCAGAGGCAAAGGTGATGATTTTGAAAACAGCTTCAACTCAATGATTCAAAGTCTCCTTCCAATATTCTGGTCAAAAAAAGTCTCCTTCCAATATTGGAACAACATAAAAGGACCAGGCAACTCACTTCTGCTACACTTTTTTTTTTTCATTTTTATTTGAAACTACCTCCTCTATCCCTGTATTTTGTAAACACTTACCCCACATCATATGCTCTCTTTCAGCCCTAACAATTTTAACTAATTCATTAGTATTAAGAAAATATTTTTAATTAGTTATTTGTAACTAATATCACATATACTCTTTTACAAGTATTCCTAACATTCCTTAAAAAAATGACTTTTAACAGCAACAAAAAGCTGCCCCAAATCATTTCTATAGCGATTGTTATTAATACTTTGTCGCCTGTGAAAGTGTAGGTTTAACGACAACAAAAGTCGCCACTAAGAAACCCTTTAGCAACAACAAAATTTGCTTTAAGTGGCAACATTTGGAACCACCTTTCAATGGTGACAATAGAGGTCACCACTAAAAGCACCTTTCAGTAGCGACATTAGATTGTTACTGAAAACACCTTTTAGCAATTGTTTTCATGACTGGAAGTTTATACTTTGCTAAACACAATATCTTCATCCTTTCAGCAGTGCTGCTGAAAGTTTCATTTTCGAAAATTGACCTTCAGCATCAACTCTGAAAAATCGCCTCTAAAAATACATTTTCAGGGGCAACATTTATTATTACTGCAGAAAAATGTCGCAATTGAAAGTCATTATTTAAAGTTATTATTATTTCTTGCAGTGATTATGCTAAATAATGAGATGTATTAATTATAGTAATTACTTTTTATTATAGCGAAAATTGAGCTTTCTCACCTTGGAAAGAAAATTAGGTATATACTAGCAGGAGAGAAAATGGATGGATGGCTTCTTATTCAGTTATTCTAGAAGTAAAAAAGTGAGGCTTTTTTAAGGAAATAATTCCACGTGATATACAAACGATGATTAAAAATAGGAATCAATAGCAAATGGCTAAAACATTTTAACTGTTTAAGTCAAGTTATAAAGAAAAATATATATATATATATATTATATAATTTGTAGTAGTTGGCGAGTTGTTTGTGAAAAAAATGGTGAATATTTGATTCTTCATTTAGCATTTTGCTAAAAGTGATTTCAAAGTCCGTCTATTTGACGCCCCCAAGGATGGATGATGTAGAAAATGAAATATTAATTGTGATTTGGTTGTCATTATGCTGAATAATAATGAATATAATAAAATAATTAATTATTCATAATCTCTAATAATAAAATAAAATAACTGGTCAAATTGTATCATCTTGACTACCAACTTCACCTCTTCTTGAAAACCTCGTTCACTTTTGATGTTTTTCTTTTTCATTTATTTATCCGTTTCCTTTGGCAGCATTCAAATCCAACTATGGCTAAATGCATTAGTGATTTGACAAATAAGTCCCATGTTAACAAATTAATCTCAATAGGTTTCTCTAATTAATTTGATTTATTATATTGCATTGAATCCAAGATTTGGTGTCATTTGCCTTTTTTAGAGGTATACAAAGACAGTATGGGAATTCCAAGTGCTTTCTCAAATGCTTAATTTATATGAAATTCTTAGGAACTTTGGCAAAAATTATATGATCGTTTCGAGCAATTAATACTTCCTAATTGCACATTGCAAAATATTGTATAAGATAACAGTGATAAGTAATTTTAAATGCTAGTAGATCACTGATTATTTTCACTTTACCTTTAGTGATTAATAATTTTTTAGGGATTATATATACTTTGGCTTCCATTGGGTTTTAATGTTATGGCTGTCTGCATCTTATTACGATTTTGAATATTTGTGAACAATATTTCAAACTTATTCCCTTCTCCGATGGGGGAGGATTTAAATTTTCTCTAATTCTTTTAAAAAAAGATCTTATATATTACAAACAATCCAATTACAACTATGTTATTGGGAAATCAAGAAGCTTGCATTCGTTGGTAATTTCACAGAAAGTAGAACTCTCAGTTCTCAGAAAGTCCATTGTTGTATAATATGTTATCGATGAATAATGAAAAGAAAGCCAACAGCAAAAGTAATTGGAATGAAAATAAAGATTAAGGCTTTAATCATAGTGATGGAGAAAAAACAAAGCAAAAGGAAAACATGTGGCGAGATGTTATGAATATTATTTTCATAAACACTTGTAACATTATTTATAGTACATGTCATCATCACTAGAGCTAACACTTGTAATGTCCCCATTATCCAACACGATCATAGCTTTCTTGTTGGGGCATTAAGAAGCACTACAAGAAATAGCAAGTTAGCAGCGGAACATTTCTAGCAGTTCAAACAAACCGCTACAAATTTATGTATTTCTAGCGGTTTTACGACAAACCGCTAGAAATTAGCATCGCTTTGACCATAAAGACTGTGGGGCCCGTAATTTTCTAGCGGTTATATGCCAACCGCTAGAAAATCACAGCTAGAACTCTTCCCAGGTTTTGACGCGAACTTGATGCCAAAATTCTAGTGTTTATTTTCTAGTCGTTTGGGTGATCAAACCGCTAGAAAATGTAAAGGGTCGTCCATTTTCTAGTGGTTCGGTGAACTGCTAGTAATCATCACACTTTTCTAGCGGTTTTTGATAAAACCGCTAAAAAATTTAATTCTCTCGAGGTGGTTTTAATAACCGTTAGTAGTTTCTAGCGATTGTCGCCAAAACCACTAGAAATTTCTAGCGGTTAACTCAGAAACCGCTAGAAAATTTGTATATTTCCCGAGGTGCCCTAAATACGACGGCCAACCGCTAGAAATTTCTAGCAGTTTTAGCGACAACCGCTAGAAATTTCTAGCGGTTTGGGTAAAACTGCTAGAAATTCGCTGCCTATATATACCCCCCCGGTCATTTTCACTGTTTCGTTCGTGAAGCGAAGCTCTGCCGAATTCTCTCCACAAAACATATCCGAGTTCGGATTCAGTTGCAGATCCCTATTTTTAGGTAGAAATAGTAATTTATTTATAAATAATTTCCTTCTTTTTTATTTAATTTATTATATTTTTGTTTAAATAATTTCTCTTTTTATTTATTTATAAATAATTACTATTTGTTTTTATTAGGATGAGTCGTCGACCAGGGAAGGCGCCAGTTGATCCTGAGAGGGCAGGACCCAGTGAGGATCGTCGTGATGGTAGTCATGATGCTGGTGAGCCATTCCCCAGAATTCATGACTACGATCTCCACGAGGAGGATCTCCTCAGCTTTATGGAGCAGGACGATATCGAGCCGACTGAGGAGGCTCATTTTATTGGAGATGAACAACCCCATGCTGATGCTGATGCTGTTGAGGAGGAGGAGG